GCCGGATGTCACCGCTGGGACACAAATTCCGCTTCTGGCGCAGCAACGGCTGGTTGCCTCGATTGCGGAAGGAGCGATCTTATCGATTGAGAATCGGCGTGAATCGTGGCACTCAACCACTCTTCACCCAGTGCACGCACACAGCAACGCTCCCCGTGACCGAATCGCCAAGGACCTAAAGTCCGCAGGCTTCTCAACTAGTGACTCCAGCTCGCGAGCCTGGCTCGCATATGCACCGTCGTGGCGCAAGTTTTGTGCACGCCGAACGAGGTTCTCCCGCTGTCTCCAGAACGCACCCACTGGCTCCGTACACTCTGTTATATAGGCGAGGCCCACGGTGACCTACTACGTCACGCCACCCTCTCGCTGTGTGTGCTGTGCGAGGCTAATCATCTACCAAGCTCCAAATAGATGCCATGAGGCACGCTGGCTAATACTTTACAATATAATGATACAATATGAACGATGATAGTGAATGTAGGGAAAAAATACCTCACATGTATAATAGAAAACAACTTCTCTAGTTAATTAATTAACTCATCTTAGTGTAGTTAGGAATGCCAAAGTGCAATTACTTAAGGAATAGATATTAAACTTAGCTAAGGCAAAGCCTCTCTCTAGGTGCGTGACCGCAAGACAGGCTTATATCTATTGATGAAATGGTTTTATTGTGCGATTCGCCACTCCTACTTTTGAAGCGCGCACAAAGCCCAGCTTCGCTGCGCGATGTCACGCTGGACACAAATTCCGTTCTGGCGCACAACGCTGGTTTGCCTCGATTGGAGGAAGCGATCTTATCCGATGAGAATCGGCGTGAATCGTGGCACTCAACCACTCTCTCACCGCGGCAGGCACGACACAGCAACGCTCCCGGCCCCCCTGACCGCAATCGCCCAGGGACCTAAGTCGCAGCTTCGTCAAACTAGTGCACTCCAAGCCTCGCGAGCCTGCTCATATCACCGTCTGCGCCAAATTTTGTGCACCGAACGAGGTTCCCCGCGTCTCCAGAACGCCCCACTGGCTCCGTAACGCTGTATATAGCGGCCACGACCTACTACGTCACGCCACCCTCTCGCTTGTTGTGCTGTGGCGAGGCTAATCATCTACCAAGCGTCCCCAAATAGATGCCATGAGGCACGCTGGCTAATACGTTACAATATAATGATACAAGTATGAACGATGTGTGAATGTAGGGAAAAAATACCTCACATGTATAATAAGAACAACTTCTCTAGTTAATTAATTAAAACTCATCTTAGTGTAAGTTAGGAATGCCAAAGTGCAAATAATTTAACTTAAGGAATAGAATATTAAACTTAGCTATAAGGCAAAGCCTCTTCTCTAGGTGCGTGAGCCGCAAGACGGCAGCTTAATATATTAATCAAAAGAAAATAAATGACCAAATTATCGAGAGGTCTCCACATTGTTTCTGGGGAGGGGACAATAGAAAATAAAAGATTTTCTTTTCAGAAATCCAAATATCTATATCCAAAATATCCAAATAAATATATCCAATATAATCCAATAAATATATCCAATATATATATATATATATATATATATATATATATATAATAAAAATCCAAATATATATATATATATATATATATATATATATATTTCCAATATCATTGTTTTTTAAAATTTTAACATTAAACGTATCGTGGAGTAAAAACCCCATAAGCAAGTGGGTTTGTATATTTTAACTCAGTTTTTCAAAATATACCAGGATCATTTTTTCATGGCTAATCTTCTTTAGAATTTTCTTCTCGTTGCACCAATCTACAAATTTTGCATACGTACGTTCATAAGCTCTTGTTTTTTCTGGTAAAAGCGAAGATATGTTTCCCGCTGACTCCTCTAAGAATATAGTATCTGACAAAATATTAGCCGAGTCATATTCGGACATTTTCAAATTAAAAACTATCAAATGTCATCCAACATAAACCTTTCACTTTCACCCAACAAAAAACGTTTGTAACAATGATAAAAATGAAACAATCGCATCTTATAAAACAATAACAATGCGCAAATCACAACATGTGTTCAAACTATTATCCGATGTTAATGTCTAGATTAATATAAAATTGATTTATATTCGTCGTAGATAAAAGTTAGAATGATACACGTTTGATATAACATCATATCAAACTACTAGTATCACTAATAACTAAATTGTAATCACGATATGATAAAACTGCAACCACTTGCAATAAAGTGGCTCTCAAAGAGCTGTTTTATCCAGTGCATTGTACTTATGTAATAGCATTGTAAAGTGCATTGTACTTTTCAATACAATAAACTTTTGCCATTTTCCAAATTCCAAAGGCTTAAATTAAAAAAAAAAAACTATGTTCTTTTACTCAGCTACTGTTGCTGCATTCAAGCCCCTCTAAAAGAAAGAGAGAAAACATTTTCACACATGTGCGAAAATATGAGTTTACAGTTTTTAATGCCGTTAATTTTACTCAAAATTCCGCGAAAATCACTCATATTTCTAAAATCTTGAACGTTACTTTATTTAAAGAATCTAATTTTGAGGAACATATTTCGTTAAGAAAAAATATCAACCTTCAATAATATAATGGGAGAAAGGGGTTGAAACATTTTTGACTAGCAGTTTTCGAAAATTCAGATATGTAAATGATCTGCGCCATTTTTAAAGTGTATATTGCTATTACATAAAAAAAGAAAAAAATAGTATCTTTTAGAAAATTTTGAGAATGTCGAGGCTTCTTGTTAAGAACCGACAAAAATTTGAAGATCCGTATTAAAACCGCAGCTCGTGAGCGAGACTAAAATTATCGGTAAATATCAATTTTGGAGAATGATTGGTTTAAGCCTATAAGTTGTCTACAAACGGTCGGAAATTACCTTTTTCTACATGAAATGTCCACAAAACTATAGATTCTGTCTACCCTTCGTTTTCGAGAATGTTATTTACTTCATTTACTACACAGAAGCAAGAAAAAAAAGCAACAAAACAAGTTTTGCTGCCGAAAAATAACGCTTCTTTCTGCATCATTAAAATACTTTCTTTGTACTCGTAGAGTACCATAGAGTACCATATAGATCAGGAGCCAGCAAGAAAATCCACTTATGATAAGCTCATAAAACTTTTCGATAAGTTAGCCAGTGTTATAAGGAACAGGGAACAGAAGTATGGCGGCCTCTTGGTGTCGGTGTTGCGCTGCACAATTTTATGAAAGTGTCGTAAAAAACTATGCATTTGGGGGATGAGTACAAAGTGTCATTTTTAATGCTTTCTTGTATTACGAACTAAAAGCTTTTCTTTTGTTCTAATGACATAACATTTTTTTTCCATTGCCTATTATGACTAAGGCATACCTTTTCGGCGTCTTTAAGTAGCCGCCATACTGATTCAAAGATGTCCAATTTGTCACTAGGCCATGTACGTACGTATCATGGGTACAAGCGTTGCGGTACATTTTTCGGACCCCCCCCCCGTGATCCATTTTGATATATAGATGCAATGCCCTACTGATAAGACGTCATTAAATGGCCGCCATACTTAAAATCTATTTCTTTCAAAATTTCCGTAAAATTATAGGTAAACGCTGGTAAATAATTGTATAACCTTACTACAGTAAAAAGTTGAAATAAAGTAGTTGATTTTGAACGTTTTATGACAATATAGGAACAATATAATCTATTAAAAGAATTCGTACTGTAATTTATATAGTACTTTTATATGTATTCAATAAGATTCCGTTGACGTCACGTCCATTTTTAGCAAGTCAAGTCAATATTTATATGTAAATAAGAGAAAGTAAAATGTTTGCTCGCATCTGCTCCTTAACGTAATATGAACGAAACTACTTCGGACGCCGCGAAATCGGAGAACCAATACAAATAGGTGCGAGATCGAAGAACAAAGTATTCGTGGCATTCAAATTTATGTTAATTGCAGAGACCAAAAGCTGGAGCCTCTTCGTCAATACGAACGAAATACGAACAAAAATGCGTCGAGCCAACAAAAACGGTCGGTTTTGAGCTTAAATAGATGCCCCTTCGTTTTTTGCATGAAGTGAGAACACGAAGTTCCACAACTGATAAGATGGTATTGTTTACACAGAAATGTTTTACATGTTGAGGCGAAACCGACTGTTGGCCACAGAATCAAGTCCGAGGAGTGTCGGGGGGAATGAGATCAAAGCGGCCAATGACCCATTTTTATTAAGTAAATTTTTTTGCACTTTTCGTAGATTTCGTCTAACAAGTCATTTTTTTAATCTTTTCCCGTCATTTTAAAGCATTTTTCGCTGTTTTTAGCGATTTTAATATCATTTTAATGGTACTTGCTTCAAATAATATTTACGATATGCAAAAAATATTCTCCACAGAATTCCTGAGTATCCTATTCCATTTTTTTGCTCCGAAATTGTAATGTTGTATTTAATCTAAGGTTCCTGTGGCGTCAGTATGATGGATTTCTCGATAACCAAAGACAAAAATTTTCTGGTCCAGTCCAAATCAAACGTTTGCAAGCCAAGATCCCTTGAACGAAAGGAAGAAGCCTCGATTACATCAACAACATATCCAACAGCTTCAATTGTTCATGCAAACAAGTTTTGATTATATTTTTTACATCATTTTACTTCCCCGTTGGGACATTTTAAAAACATTTTAAGAGCATTTTATTGATCATTCTTAGCGATGTTTTAGGCCATGAAGATCTGCCCCCTAGTTATGTTCACGAGCAGAGAACCATGGCGGCGACAGTAAAGCGCTTCCCCGACCGCCATCGCGCCGTCGCCGAACATTTTAACGAATTTCTGATTGGTCGATGTGCTTGTGACGTGTCCCCGAGGACGTGCAGCGACGTTGTCTCCGGTTTGTATGGTTTGAGGTGCGAAGATGGGCGGGCGCGAGTCTGCCCGGTCCGGTCCTTTCGGTGCGCGTGTCAGCAACGGTCGGTACTAAAAATGTCACGAATTTAGCTGAAAAAGAACTGTGTCGAATGCGTTTCTATTGTTTAAAAAAAACTGTGGCAGTGACATTAAGTGCAACGAGAACCACGTGTGTGAATAACTTCGCAAAACGAGTAAAACTTGTTTGAACAGCAAATGTGAATTGTTTCAGCGTAACTGAACTTATTTGTGCTACGAACAGTTGTAGAAAGTTGATGCGAGCACGACACACTGTGTTCACCAAAAATGAAATGAGTAGAATAAACCGCTCAAAATATATTGCTTGCAGTGACTGTGATGTACCCGCAACAGTTGATTTTGCATAGTAATAAAAATTCATGTTGACTATTTTGTGAATTATATACAGGACGCGTTCGCTTAACTCAATCCACTGTAACGGTGGTGTTTTGGAGGAATCTGAAAGAGGTTTCAAGGAGATCCCCAGCGAAAAAATCTCCCTACGGGGTGGTGTAAAGCAGTAGCTGATTCCAACGGAGCTTTTATTTCTTCAAGGCCATGCACGACTCCAAGGTGGCCGCTCATCATGGGGCCTTGCTTCCGCTAATAAGGTACGTTTCTGAATCTCTCTAATTCTTAACCTGCCTGCCCCCATGCCCGCACTTTGCCGCGAGACCGTCAAACGCAAGCGGAGAACGAGTGGTGCGAACGTGAGCATGTTTCGTAGTGCAAATCAGAGCGACGCGTTTTAATTAGTTTTTGGCACGATGCGTTGGACAGCCTCAAGTATTTTTACTTTTTCGCCCTTACGTGCGTAAGAAAAAGTATTGTAAACAGGCCCCGGGAAACTGCGAAATTGAACATAAAAACCGATATTTATATATTTGCATAGGTGGAAAACTCGCCAGGAACTTACACACGCGTAGTAAAGCACATTGTCAACTTGTGCTATTCAAAAGTTCTTTCGAATAAAATGCGTTGGAAATTTTGCGTTGAGACCACGGGGTGTTTCATGTTCATAATTGCGTGGGATGAAGGCCGGGGCTTCGTCATGAAATTGGAGATACGAGAAGCGTCACCGCGCCTGAAGTTTGATATTGTAAATACGACGTAATTCCGTTCGAGAGCCGTCTTGTTCGTCACCGGGTCACGGTAAGAGAGAAGAGCCGAATACGCGTACTAAAACTTCATATATTATTTCGTTGCAATGGCCTTGTTTAATTTCTTGCGTGGTGCAAAGTTTGCTTCACTGAATAGATAGGTTTAAATTTTCTTCAAGAGCACTGTATTTTCCGCAAAGAAAGTATGGGAATAACCGTGCTTGAATGTTTGTTTTGCCACAGACGTAGAGGATTATTTTCAAGCTATTTTCGAAGCAATTGTTCTGTATAAGACTCCTTCATAACTGTGCCAGTTTATTTATTAATCTAAATTACTTTAGGTTTTCTTTTTTCTCTTTCAAACAGTCTTGTTTGGCAGCGAAGTATGTTACGTTGGGAGTGTTTCTGAGCACAAACTAGAAGTTGGTTTTCGTTACTAGTGGATGCCGAAGTCAAAAGCCTCTCCAACGAGCTATTACTTTTACAACTTTTAGTTAATTTTATAGAGTACCTTTTTATTTCATTTTCTTAGATTCAGAAAATTGTATTTAGATGGTGCGTTAACATTTAAAAGTTTTCTTTTAATGTTTAGTTTAAAAACATTTTCAAATGAAATCGAAACACTTTTTTGAAATAATTAAAACTACGCAATAAAATTATGTTCGAATTCGTCGGAAATTAATGATATTTTTTAATACTCACGCAGAAACTAGTACTTATGTTCGCCGTTTGCGGTACGAATTGTACGAAAGTCTTGATTTGCTGTACGAATAGAGCAAAGAAGTCATGGCCTTGTAAAACAATGTAAGTCCAGTGCAAAATACCTACGAATACATAACCGTCCTAACATTCTAGCCATCAACTTACTAGACAATAGTGACACCACCAGACGACTTCAACGACATAATACTTCAAACCTTACATATCGACTGTAAATTATATTTTGGCATCCATGTATGTATTTATTAACGACCAATGTAATATTAGTAGAGTACGGTCAATGGACGTTCCTCTTCTCAATTACTAGATTGCACTTTTTGATGCAATTTTGCCAAATGTTTGTTCGCACACAAATTGCAAAATAAAAATTATTTTAAAAAATGTAAAACAATTGTTTACAAAGTAAACAAAGCACTGACGCGACATGAATCAACATGGTGTACTGCCTTGGTTATTGAAAATGATATATTGAAGATTATACAGGGGACCCCATCAACTATGGGTCATCCCCATAACTTCTGAACTGTTCCTGATACTGAAATATAGTTTTCGCTCTACAATGCAAAATAGTGGGACAAATGATATAGTATTGAGATTGTTTGAAATATTTTTAGTTTTCGAGAAATTAATTAATCTTTGATTTTTTAAATGGAATTATATATTTCTCTGTCTAGCAATAGATAGATCATAAAAAGAGGAATGCAATGATTCTATCGTACTATGTACATTTTTTGATAGTATTTTGTGTGTAAAATTATACTTTCCGACACGAGATTATAAATTAAACATGCAATTTTTCCTGTCGCTTTTGGGGATGGTGGCCTTCGCGGCCGCACCCCTCCAAAGTGCCGGCGCCGCGAAGGCAACTTACCCCAAAGGCGACAGTTGCAGGGGTTGCTACTGGATATCTTGTACATTTATTTTAAAATCACATGACTGAAAATATAAATTTATACTCAAAATACTGAGTAGCGACCCCGGACCTTCCAATGATCATTTCCAATAAATTGAAAACATATCATTTACATCACTGATCTATCTATTGCCAACGAGAAAAATACATGGTTCCATTTAAAAAATCAAAGATGATTTAATTTCTCAAAAACAGAAAATATTTCAAACATATCTCTATGGCACATTAGTTGCCCCATGGTTCCATATTGTTGGGTGAAAACTGCATTTCGATATCGGGAACCGTTTAAAATATGTGGGGATGGCCCAAAGTTGGTTGGAATTCCTTTATACTTGTAAGTTTCCATGAACGTGTACTAAAAAATACGCAACATGTACAAAAGTGTGTTCGGCGTACTCATTAGAAAGTGCCAAACTCTGTCGCGGTCATCGCTTCGTCTGTCGACTTTCCATTCGTACGCCAAAGATAACTTTCCTATTAGTTACTAAAATAACAACTATCACCAGTTTCCGGATAGTAAGTGGCAAGGAATTACTTACTTTTATCACTAGGCGCAGAGTAAGGCAATGGCACAAGTTATGTCAAGTTCAGAAGCAGTCTTGTCTTTACTTTAACGGATGGCGAAATAATTTTTATAGAAGTAGAATGCAAATGAACATTGTTCTGAATTATCCGAAGTGACGATTAATATACATTTTGAATGTCTAATATTTCCAAAACTAGGAATTGATGGTGACACGCATTTTTGATGCTCTAGAGCGCGCCACTGTAATGGTCCCCACCACGTTATATGGGAGTTATAGTGCCCTGAGTTGAACCGTATATTACACTTCAGTCAAATGATAAAGTCTAAAAATCAAAAGCGCTCAATAAATGTTAAAATGAAAGACAATTGTGGGGCGCGTTAAACTCTGACCCCGCGAGGTCCGTTAGCCCTGGCTGCACCCCCCCCCCTCCTCGAACCTGGACCTACGAGCAACTAAGTCACGTTAGTGTTCACTCTTTTGTGATCTTATAAAGCAAGCATGTAGTTGCGAGTTATTTGTTCATTTATGCAAATGCAATTTAACTGCAACATTACAGACGAAATGTCTCGGTACTTACCTGTGTCTTTGCCAGCATCCTGTGCCCATTGTATAATAGATGGGACCCAATATTCAGGATTTTGGGAAGCTTGACAGTCTCCTTCAGGTACGTTAGCATCCACTCCAGCTGTATGGTAATTGCCCTTGACTCCGCAAAACAATGCCGTTGCTGTAGATGCAGAGTCGGGAACTTGTTTGTCGGCACAATATGTCTATAAATACAAATAAAATTATTTTTTGTTGTGTATATTAATTTCATTATATCTGACGTATAATTTAATACAAGTTTGAAATCCATACCTTTAACAAGCCAATATGCGGAAACTCATCAAACGTTAGTTTCGTCTGCTCATTGCCATTTCCTTTAAATATCCTTGCAGCAGTTACGGTATTAGGACCCATGCCATCGCCAACAAATAATATTACATTTTTGGCTCGATTTTCATTTCTTGTTAATTTTAAAGCTTCATCTAATTCGATTTGGGTTTGTGTTGCCCAGTATGCTTTGTCTGCAAAATTAATAGCGTGATATTTGCTTAATCTTAATAAATTTGCTTAAACTTAATAAATCAAAAGTAGTAAATAACAATAGTACGCATATTGAAATGAATTCACAATTTTACATAAATACATATAAAATTAATAATTACAAAACCATTGACTCTCTTTCTTTCTCTCTCTGTCTCTGTCTCTCTTTCTCTCAAAAATGAATAATTTAAAAATCATTTGCAGAAGATGTCGATCTATTTCCACCGAGATATGCTTTATTCATTACTAGTTGTAGTTATAGTGAATAAGAATATAAGAACTAAATAGGTTTCATGAAAATGGACAATGTAAAATCAAATTAGAGAAACAAAATGGACCTTTATCCTCTCACCCTGGAATGAAAGATTCGGAGTCGATCTTTTCTCCAATCGAGGACGACGCAACTAGTATGATTTAGACATATAACGGGTTAGTTAATAAAAACATTGACCTCGAATATTGTCCAATTTGTACAAAATATTGTGATGCAATTTTCATCAAGCAATACGGGTCACAGTGGCTTATCAGTTCTAGTTATTGGATTTTGATAGCATTGTTTGATTTTAAGATATACGTAGGTCTGCACGTAAAACTAACTTCGTCTTCTCGTGTAACTTCGTTTTTTAAATGGGTTACTCTATTATTTTTACGCGAATAGATAATCCGGACGAGAGATATTCAGCAATATGTTTGATGGTTAATTGTAAACAACTGAGGTACAAAATCCGTTGGCGTTGGGCAGGTTCGGAAGTTCGCAGCTCTGCTGGATTTCTAAACAACTCGGCGGCTACTATTCAAAACGCCGCAGAGTAAGATGCTTAAAGCAGGTTGCGACCTCTAAACAACAAGCGAGACCGCCGTACACAATATAAACTAGTGGTGCTACAGAATGGCAGAGACATTCTCGTAGAAAAGTTTTCTAATTACCTTGGTGTGGACTGGCTTTACGGTTTTGCCCCATCCACTTGCCACCTGCCATCTGTCGCCGCTCGAAGAACATTTTGTTGGACATTTTCTCAAGTTTTCGTTTTCCTAACGTTATAATCGAAATAATACTTGAATTTTAAAGAAGAGTAAAACTTCGTCACCGTTGTGACGTCACTACGGTGACATTGAAGCTCCCGATTGGATGAAACCGTTAACAACTCACATCTGCCTGCGGCACATTTGCATAAATCGCAATATAGTTTTGGAGACATAAGACAAGTATTATCAACTTACGGGTTAAATTCATTTTTTTCCGTGTTTCTATTTCATGTCCCCTCCCCTCTCCGTTCAGCTCGTGACATTGAGCTGAATTGCACCATACAGCTGCGTTTCACTTGGAGTATAGTTGGAACAGGGATTGTCACTCGGCTATTGCTATTGAAGGTATACCGTTGTTATATGAGAACCTGCGAAAATATGGCTGTTCGACGACGACAGTCCCATTTTTTACTCTTCCAAGACCGTGAGAGTACAGATTACTGAGAGGCATTTACAACTTGCCTTTAATCAATTGAAAGAATCGAATGATAAAACTGAATTCATGTTCTCCGCCTCAAAATCCTTCTGCATGCATTTCTGCAGAATTCATTACCAACATAACTATACACATCTTTCTCTTGGAATCAGAGGGGGCACCATATCATAACAATATAACATACGTACAGTGATGAAAATTTTTCTCATCATGCCAGTCTGTTGCCTCAAAGAAGGAGTTTAAGTACACTAAAAATTGTAATACAAATACTTCAGAAACAACTAGTGGTTCCATAGAATGGCACAAACTTTCTGCTACTAATTTAGTTAACGTTTATCCTCAGTCTTGCAATTTTTTTCGGTTTTGCCTTACTCTCTTCTCAGCTGCCATTTATTGGCACCTAAAGGCCAATTCTTCATTTTTTCGGCCCCTAATGGTAAAATTAAAATATGACATTAATAATATTATAGAAAAGTAAAACTTAGTCGAGTATTCAAATTTTCGTTGAAAAATGTGGGGCCGTTTTCGAAAGCATGTTTGACCTTTCTTGAAAATGCGCATTTTCAAGCTCATTTCACCCTAAACGCTTGAGTAGTCGAGGACCTCGTAACAGAATTATTTGAACCAATTTTACTCACAAATGCGATAATATGTAAGAAATGCACGTAATGTAAATAATAATGCTCTGTGTGGTGTGTGTGGCTGTGTGTGTGGCTGTGGCTGTGGGTGTGAGTGTGGTGTGGGGTGGGGGTATGGGGGCTGGTGTGTGTGTGAGAGAGAGATAAAAAATGTGCAATTTTTTAAAAAGCAAAATAATATCATAGTCAATAAAATCATAATGACTTTTATGATATCTCGTAGAGTAGACTTCGTACTATTCATTGAAAAATAATAAAATGGAGCAGTTTTCAAGAAAATATCGTTTGAGTGTTTCAGAAAATGCACAATGTGGTGCTCAATTTTACAGATTTCATTTCAAGAAAAAATCTCTTGTTGGCTCAGGGCATCAACTGATATCACTGCAGCCCCTCTGACAATATTGTAACTTTAGGAAGAAGCCGAAAATTTCAAACATTGCAATTTTTTAATATTAAGCGTTAACAGTGAAAATTGAAACTAATACCATCTTCAGAAGTATTTGTACCATATTCCTACAAAAGTTAAAGAAAATTAAGGACTATTTTAGAGAAAAGTTTGAAAATGTTCCAAGGACTTCATGTAAATTATCCTGTTTAAAGAATGTTATTCAAAATCGCTGAACTTTGAGTCGGTCTAGATCGACCTGAGACTCGGGAAAGTTGGCTTTAGGGCATCAACTGATGTCACTGCAGTCCCTCTGACCGGGAGGTCCTAGAGGTCTCTGTCCTCCTGGAGACCCGACGGTGACGGGATTTTCCACACTAGCTTGTCAGCTAGGTCGAATTCAGTCCGTCTGAAGAAGAATTCTAGCGGCCGGTTGCTCTGATGTTCGGTAGTTTTCGGTTTTTTCTACGATCATCAGGCGAATGCCGCAGCAGTACCCTAACAAACGGGTCACGGACCGCGCGTGATATTTCCTTCCTTTTCCTTGTCCCATCCTACCCCTTACTTATACCCCCTAACATGCACTACACTACCACAAACGCTGGAGACCACTCGGGAACGTAGAGCTTGTCGCCGTTGGGGCGGTGCCCTGCTGGCGGGAGATACCTGGTTAGGGAAAACCCGCTAGCAACCGGATCTCGTCAGACAGCGGGGAAAGACCACCGCCATAGCCAGAGAGATATCATGCACGACACGGGATTAATGACGGTAGTTTACGCACCCGGTATCACTATGAATCAACCTGGGAGAATTCTTGTGAAAAAAATTCCTAAAAATAGTTTAGGCGTTAGTGTTGCAAAACACTAACGACAAAACGTCAGAGTATTCGTTCGTCTGTAAACAACGCTAGCGTCTAAACAGTTCAGTCGATTTTCTACAAAATCGATATTCCCCGATCGATTTGGCTAATGTCGCTGCTTCTTGAATTTGAAACATATTTTAATTTTGGAGGGTACTTTACACGAAGCCGCTGGAATATTTTAAACATTTTCAAAAAAGGCTCTATCATTTTTGATTAAATTTTGTTGTTGGATGTTGACATAAACGTTTAAGAGAATGGTGCAAGTCTCAAGTTCGTTCAAAACCCACATTTTTCGATAATTGCAAAAGTTCAAAGATTTCTCCTGAATCTTCCTACAACTAAAATATTAAAGATAGAATTTTTTCCCTTAAAGATGGATTTTGATATATGATCATGTATACGTTTTCTAAAATGTGAGTTGTTTTCGCGTTATTTTGCGTGAAAATACAGACGAGAAAGTACGTGTTGTTTTAGCACCACTAGTTAAATAGATTAAGAAATTTTGAGAGTTGTAATTAAATAAGCAACAGTCTGTTGATTCACCCCCCCCCATACACACATAGTCATACATACATCCCAATATCAATTTTGATAAAAGTTTTCATTTCATGTACAACGATTGTGGCAATTGTGAAAGGAAATACCAAACGTGCTGCTCTCAGATTGTCAATTGAAGTATCTTAGATTTAATGTATAAATATTAAAATTGTGTCTTTGGAATCAAGCATTTACATAGACATCTTGCCCCTGGTGAAAACCAACCTAGTTATGTCCCTGTTCACATGACCGGAAGCTGCAAAGTTTTCCATCAATTAGTACCATAATAAATAGCCATATTCTGCTGTTTCCTTGCCAGAACTAGTTGTGTGTTACGGTTTCTATGGCAAGTACGTGCTAAAGGGTCGTTCATAAATTACGTAATGATAAAGAGGGGGAGGGGCATTGAGGTAGCGTTGCGCTGCGTTACATGGGAGCAGGGGGTATTCGATTTTTCGGACTCCCCCCCCCCATTTTTTAACATTTTTTGAAGTACTTCCTTTTTTGTTCTTATAATAAAAATACAATAGTTAACTAATTAGTTTTAAAATTTAAATAAATAAAATTTATTAGATATTAAAATAAATAGAGATTTTTTCGTTTTTTATAGAATTTGTAATATTACGAAAAAAATATTCAAGACTGATATGCAGTATTTTTTATACTACAATTAAATTGGCGAAGTACTCTCGCCCGTGCACCATCCACAGCGGCGGCGTGTTCACAGCTTGTAATCAGACACTTTCTAGCACAGGCTTCCTTCTTTTACTCTAAACTTGCCCCTGTTATGTGCAGACAGCGTCGACAGCCAATTCCGACTTTAATTATCATAAAATTTAATGTACAACACAAATACAACGAATACAATTTTTTATTGTGCTAAATTTTATTTTCACTCCTTGCATTTTAAGTGGGGTGTTGTCGCAAGAGTTTCGTAATTATTTATGGGGGTTTCAAGCGCGCATTACAGGTGTGTTACAGGGGGAGATGGGGTATTCAAAATTTTCCAAATTTGCGTTACATAATTTATAGATTACCTCTAACGATGACTTACTCTACATAATCCGAAATCGGGTAACCATTTAGTTCCTCAGACG